ACACACACACACACACACACACACACACACACACACACACACACACACAGAACTAAATTTACTGAATAGTTTGCTGAGGGGCTTTTAAGTGTTAGGAAGGGGTTTCATGGTAGCTCTTCTTGTTAGTATTGAAAACTAGCCTCTTAGACCAGATGGAATGAGTAGTTTTCTGTAAAAGGGTCAGGTCGTAAATATTTTAGTCTTTGTAGCCTTTATGTTCTTTGTTGCAACTACTCACCTTTGTTGTTGTGTGTGAAAGCTTCCATAGACACAAGATGAAGACAGAGTGTGGCTGTGGTCTAATAGACCTTTATTTACAAAACACCTAGTTGGCTGTAGTTTGCTGCCCAGTGTTATAGACGGTTCATAAAATACATCTCACTTTTGATTGATGAAGAAAGAATCAGGTAGGTCTGCAAAGGCTTCTGGCAGATAGAAGCAGAGTAATGGAGCAAGGCATACAAATTTGATATCTGTTAGAGCTATTTTAGGTGGAAATTTTTCCATTTACAACAGTTAAAAAAAAAAAAACACTGTGAAAAGCAGGTCTTGGTGGAGTCAAAATCCTTTAATGGGTTGCAGGCCTAGACTATGTTTTTGTGTTTTACTGCTGAATTCACACTCCCAGATAGAGAACCCACTGCATAATGCTCTAGGAAATACTTGTTTAGGATGGGGGAAACACCTTCCAGTTCATTTCCCACATGGGTCTCTGACCTGTCCTCTCTATTGCCTCCACCATGGGGCCTCTAGGTGGAGTGACTCCCTTTTTTGACTCCATCCTTTCTTGTAGGAAATGTCCCTAAAGAAATTTGTAATAAGTTATGTAGTTTAACTCTCAGTAAAAGCATATATTTGTAGATATTGTTTACATCAGTGTTAATGACTGTGGCTTGTAAGATAATTGTATTGGGGGCAGATGTACAACTCTAATGGCAGCAATTTTTAGGGCTAGAGCTGCCTGTGATGCTTTCTTAAAACTGTTTAAGCTGGGCTGATATTTAGAGCTGGCTCATTGTGTGGGTTTTATGTGTTGTAAAAGGATATACATTAATGTGTCACCCTGGGATGAAAGGTAGGTCTGTGAAGGAAATCTTTCCTATGGGAACATCTGAGGAATGACTGCTGGACAAGTGTTACCATCCACAAGGTACCTGTGGTGATTCTGACCGACACTTTCTCTCCAGCAGAACCAAGAACAGAATTCCAGCCCCATCTCTCCTGCCCAGTGAGTTTTTCCAGTCCACAGTTCCTCCATCAATATGTGTTCTGCGGTCACTTCCCTCAGATCTTCCCAGGTTCATCTGCAGGAAGCCACTTCCTACTAGAAGCTCCGAGCTGCTCGAGTAACAAAGCAGAAGATGGAGAGAGAGAAGGCTCTTGCGCTGTGTTTGGGAGGCTGCGGCTGAGCGGGACTTCAAGGGCATTCTTCAGCCCATCTCAAGGTCAGCCAGTAGACCAGGAAGGCAACAGTGGTGGAGGAATAGATCAGGGGGTGATCCCTGAGGAGACAGATGCAATGTTGACAGGGGCAGACATCTCAGAATCTGGAGCAGTCATATGTGAAAAATACAGACTAGGACTTAGCACAAAGTCAAGCCTCTTTAGCCTCCAGAAGCTTCATGTGTGCCCTGAATGTGGCAGAAGCTTCTACCAGAAGTCAGACCTCATCAAGCACCAGAGGACACACACAGGGGAGAAGCCCTATAGTTGTAGGGAGTGTGGGCGAGGCTTTGGCCGGAAGTCCTCACTCACCATACACCAGAGGAAACACTCAGGGGAGAAGCCCTACATGTGTAGGGAGTGTGGGCGACACTTCAGGTATACATCCTCCCTAACTAACCATAAGAGGATACACTCTGGGGAGAGACCCTTTGTATGTCAGGAGTGTGGGCGAGGCTTTCGCCAGAAGATTGCCCTCATCCTGCACCAGAGGACACACTTGGAGGAGAAGCCTTTTGTGTGTCCAGAGTGTGGAAGAGGCTTTTGCCAGAAGGCGTCACTCCTCCAACACCGTAGCTCACATTCGGCTGAGAGGCCCTTCTTGTGCCTTGAGTGTGGGCGTGGCTTCAGGCAGCAGTCGCTGCTCCTCAGTCATCAGGTCACACACTCAGGGGAGAAGCCTTATGTTTGTGCCGAGTGTGGGCACAGCTTTCGCCAAAAGGTCACTCTCATCAGACACCAGAGGACACACACAGGGGAGAAGCCTTACATGTGCTCTGAGTGTGGGCGCGGCTTTAGCCAGAAAGTCTCCCTCATGGGCCACCAGAGGACACACACGGGTGAGAAGCCTTATGTGTGCCCTGAGTGTGGGCGTGGTTTTGGTCAGAAGGTCACCCTCATCAGACACCAGAGGACGCATACTGGGGAGAAGCCTTATCTGTGCTCTGAGTGTGGACGTACCTTTGGCTTCAAGTCACTCCTCACCAGACACCAGAGGACACATTCAGGGGAGGAGGCTGATGTGTACGGAGTATGTGAGCAAAGACTTGGTCAGAAGACCCACCTCACCTCTGACCAGAAGACATACTCAGGAGAAAAGCCATGTGTGTGTGATGAGTGTGGACGTGGCTTTGGCTTCAAGTCAGCCCTCATCAGACATCAGCGGACCCATTCAGGAGAGAAGCCATATGTGTGCAGGGAGTGCGGTCGTGGCTTTAGCCAGAAGTCTCACCTCCACAGACATAAGAGGACCAAGTCTGGCCATCACCTCCTGCCACAAGAGCTGTTCTCTTGACGTTTCCTTTCTTTTCCCCATGAGTGTGTAGGTGGCAGAAATCACTAGGAAATGTTACACTTTCCTTAAATTCAGTCGAGGAAAAAAATGTTGCATTCTTTCAGTGATCTTAAGATAGTTGACTTATGGTTTACTTCTTGCACTAGCAATGTGTTTTAATTTGCTAGGGCTGCCATAACAAAATACCACAGACGTGGTGGCTTAAGGAACAGAAGTTTGTTTTTTCAAAGTTCTTGAGACTGGAAGTCCAAGATCAGTGTGTAGGCAGTTTGGTTTTTACTGAAGTCTCGCCCCTTGGCTTGCGGATGATTGCATTCTTGCTGAGTCCTGAATGGCCTTTTTTCTGTGTGTTTGCTTCTCTGGTATCTCTCTTCTTCTGAGTACACCAGCCATACTGGGTTAGGGCTCCACCCTATAACCTCATAATATTTACCTTTAAAAGTCACATTGTAGGTTATGGCTTCAATGTATGAATTTGGGGGAACAATTCAGTCTTAACAACTCCGCCCTCTGGACCCCCCAGATTCATATTCTTCACATACAAAATACATTCGCCCCATCTTAAAAGCTGCAAACATCTTAACCCATTCCAGTATCAACTCTAAATTCAAAATCTCACCTAAATCTCTTCTAAATTGAGTGTGGATGAGAGTAGAGGTACGTTTCATCCTTTGGCACAATTCCTTTCCAGCTGTGAACCTGTGAACCAGACAAGTTATTCGCTTCCAAAATACAATGATAGGATAGTCAGAGAATTCACATTTCCATTCTAAAAGTGGAAAGAAGGATTGCTGGGTCCCAAGCAAGTTTAAAACCTTGCAAGGCAAATTATGTTAGTTTTTAAGGCTTGAGAATAATCTTTAGCTATGTATTCTGCCCTCTGGTCCCACTGGGGTGGCAGCCCCACCTTCTGGTCTCACTGGGATGGCAGCGGTGATACCTGGCCCACTGAAACCATGGAAGAACCATATGGCTCCTCAGACATTTATTCTCTGGGCCTGCTTTGGAAATGGCAGACCTGCTGGTCTCTCTTTCACCTTTGGGGTCATTCTTTCCTTTTCTTGATGGATAATGTGTTTTTAGTCAGATAGATAGCTCTATTTTCCCTTCTTGTAGAATCTCAGAAATCTGACAGCCTGCCTTCATTCTGTCCCATCTAGGTCACCTTTAGTTCTACTGAGATGGTTGATTGGTTCCAAACTTACCTCTCTGTCTTTTTTATTTATTTTATTTATTTATTTTTGGCTGTGTTGGGTCTTCTTTGTTGCGTACGCACTTTCTGAACTTGCGGCGAGTGGGGTCTACTCTTCGTTGTGTTGCACGTGCTTCTCATTGAGGTGGCTTCTCTTGTTGTGGAGCATGGGCTCTAGGCACGTGGGCTTCAGTGGTTGTGGCATGTGGGCTTCAGTAGTTGTGGCACAAGGGCTCAGTAGTTGTGGCTTATAGGCTCTAGAGTGCAAGCTCAGTACTTGTGGCACACAGGCTTAGTTGCTCCACGGCATGTGGGATCTTTCGGGACCAGGGCTCGAACCCGTGTTCCCTGCACTGGCAGGCAGATTCTTTTTTTTTAAATCCTTATTGGAGTATAATTGCTTTACAGTGGTGTGTTAGTTTCTGCTTTATAACAAAGTGAATCACTTATACATATACATATGTTCCCATACCTCTTCCCTCTTGCGTCTCCCTCCCTCCCGCCCTCCCTATCCCACCCCTCTAGGTGGTCACAAAGCACCGAGTTGATCTCCCTGTGCTATGCGGCTGCTTCCC